TTTTTTTTTTTGAGTGAGTATATTTAAATGTCAGCACCCATCATGGACTTGTGCTGTACTCTGGGGTCAGATAGTTGAGTTTTTAACTCATGTTAGACATCAGGAAAGTGATCCTATTATAAGGATACTTATGTCCATTTAGCTGAGGAGTGTGTTCTAACATATCCTGTGTGTGGGTTAATTTCCAGAAAATTAGGGCCTGTGAAAGGTGCATGTTGGTAGAGCAGATGAAAGAAACAAAGGCGGTGTTCATGATTTATGTACCTGGTCAGTCACAAGACCAAAGTGGGAAGGCCCTTGGCTGGAGAAGGCCCTGACTTTGAATGCTGACATGGCTGTGGCTTTCTTCTTGTAGAATTCACCTCACTTGAATGGGACTGGGCCACTGAAAGACACGCCAAGCAGTTCCATGTCGAGTCCTAATGGAAATCCCAGTGTCAACAGGGCTAGTCCTGTTAACGCTCCTGCTTCTGTTCAAAACTGGTCAGTTAACAGGCCCTCTGTGATTCCAGAACACCCCAAGAAACAAAAAATCACCATCAGTATTCATAACAAGTTGCCTGTTCGCCAAGGTCAATCTCAGCCTAACCATCATAGCAATTCCGTGGAGGCCCCTATCAAGCCTGTTCCTTCTTCTACTGTCACCAACTATTCTGCGATACAGTCTACCTCGAATGCATCCACAATGACAATTTCTAGTAAAGTAGCAAAACCACTCTCCCCAAGTGAGTCCTGCTCTAAGCCAGTGATGAATGGTAAATCCAAGGTGAGCTCCAGCGTGCTAGTCCCCTATGGTACAGAGTCATCTGAAGAATCCGATGAGGAGTCCAAGGGCCTGGCCAAAGAGAATGGCGTGGGCCAGATTACCACTGCTTACTCTGCTGACCACGAAGCTGAAGATGATGAGGCCCCACCCCATGAGCTTCAAGAGCCTATCACTCTAAATGGTGCTAATAGTACAGACAGTGACCCAAAAGAAAATGGCCTGCCATTGGAGGGTGCCAGTTGCCAAGTCCAACCCACTTTACACTCAGAAAATCCCTTTTCTAAAGCAAACGGTCTTCCTGGAAAGGTGAGTTGGTGGGAGAGGCTTTGCTTTGAGTCTCATCTGTGGCCATTCACTCGGCCAGATTCAGCATGGAGCTCAAAGCTAGTATTGAAATGTCTTGGTTTTTTATTGTAGTTGATACCTGCTTCTTTGCCCTCTCTTCCGGAAGACAAAGTCTTAGAGACCTTCAAACTTAGCAACAAAGGAAAAGGCTCAACAGATGAAATAAGGTAAAGTAAGAATAAATCAGAAGTGAATTTCATAGTACAAAATTCAACAGTGAGTGGATGTTTAACTCTGTAAAAGTGTTACTGTGGACATTTTGAGCCCCCAGATGATAAGAAAAATAATCTATAAGGATATGTTCATTTGCTTTTGAGAAGAGTAAGAAAACAATCTATGACTGCTTGTCCCAGTAGTTGGGGCGCACACACTGCCACTTCGTTTGCATTGCCTGCTTTGGGTGTTTGTTTTGCCCTTGCACCCTTCTGGCTCCAGTTCCACGTGCTTCTGCATTTCATTTTTTGAATGATGAATGAGTATGTGAAAGCATACTGAGAGAAAATGGGTTCCCCACACAGTCATGAAGCAAATACTTTGTAAGGGCCTCTCTAGAAATTTGAAATTAATTCATAGAGAATATAATTTGTCCCTGCATTCCATTTTTTAAAAAATCAATATATTGACCCAGCTGTAATATAATTCAGGAATAAGAGGAAAGGAATTTGAAATGCAGCTATAGTTGCTTCGTGTGGAAACTTCAGGTAACACTACTGCTGTGGGATGTGGTACATCAGGTAGCAGGCAGGTTCAGTGGTGAACAACTTCAGTGAAGTCCCAGCAATATCACAGTATGACCGTATCACAACTGTCAGATTCCTGTAAAATGAAGTAATACAACTGGGATTTTCATCCCTTTGGTGTGAGGATGTGGGGCAGGACCTTCCTCCATGGCACTGTGGCAACCCTGATGGCTCCTGGCAAGTGGGGTCCCCCACTGAGAACTTGAGTTAGGAATGTGGAGTTGTTAAAGAAGAATGGAGAGGCAAAGAACACTCATTCCCACTTTAACTCAGATAGATGGCTGGTATGCGCTGTCTTGCACAGTGACTTTCTCCTTGTTTCTTTCCTAATCCACCTTAGTCTTCAAATTTAATGTGCAAGAGAATTACATGTCTGCATAAATGAGGCCACGTATGTACCACAGCCAAGCACAATGTACTGCCCCATGGATGCCCCTCATACACTCAAGGCAGCTAACTTCCCCGTGGAGACTTGGTACAAGTTATCTCTCTTGCTGAAGAGTAGATATCACAACAGTTGCCTTATTGTTTCCTAGCAGCTGTCAGATAACCTTGAGAGTATGTCAGAAGCTTTCCAGTTGCCAAGTGCAGACTACATGTATTACAGAAGGCTTTCCAAGAGCCTCAATCCTTCAGTTTTCCATAATTGGAGGAGCTTTTGGCTCTGTTTGGAAATAGCTGTTCTACCTCTGAGGCTCCAAGAGAAAGTCAGAAGGGAGTCAGGAAAGTCAGCATGCCATCATCATTTGGTTATTAAGAATTAGAAGTGTATCTGGAAAGAGGAAAAATCTAGAGCCGCAGAATTATCATTACTGAAAGTAGGGTTGATATAAATTTTATTTTTATTTAATAAAGAGAAAAGTTGGTGTCCAGAGATGATAACCTGATGTTGGGTTATAGCCAGATACATTTAAAGTGATAAAATACTTGGTAAGTGTAAGCCAGTCACACTAACTATTGGCTTGTCTCTGTTTTGGCGGGGATGCAGTCCACCTGAAACAGAGCAAGGTTCGTCAGGGGATCTTGCTGTGGAGCTTGAGGCTGCCATTGCCACTACTGGTTCCCATGAGAAGCTGGACCCAATCACAAGTCTGTGCAGCAAATTTAAGAAGGCTTTGCTCTCCCCTGACACCAAATCTACCAAAGAAGTTGCCTCAGAAAACAGTTCAGCCAAACCTGATGAATCTTTGCCCATCGTAAACAACCTTTGTAATGCCAATAAGACCCCCACAGGGGATGACCAACTTCCTGAACTCTGTGATACTGGGAACTTAACACAAGACTGCAGTGAAACCCCCCAAGAGGCTCAAGGGTTGTTAATTGAGAGGCTGCAGGATTCTGCGCCAACAGAAGCAGTGGAAAAGCTGAGCCCAGCACCCTCTGTACATTCGGAAGCTGGATGTGAGCATAAGCTTGTAGTTTACCTCAGCAGAGACCAGTGCAGTGACGCAGAGGCCCCATCCCGGAGCACAGGGGCGTCTGCTGATGTGCTGCCCTCTCCTCTGCCAGACAGGACCACAGGTACCCATCCTGAGGGGGGCCCTGAGCAAAGTCACAGTCACAGAGAGAGGTGCAGCGAAAGTAAGGTAGGGCAGAAAGTTCCGGATCACCCTCCAGTTAAAGAGAAAATCAGCAGCCTTAGAAAAGTTGACCGAGGACATTACCGTAACCGCCGAGACCGCTCCTCTAGTGGGGAACGTGTGCAAAAAAGCAGGAGTAGGAGTCAGAGTCGAAGCAGGACTGAGGACCATTGTCACAAAAAGCGGCGCTCCTACAACAGAAAGCACAGCAAGCAGGAGTGCCACACACTGGAGCACTGCAACGGGAGCCAGCATCCCCTGTGCTATGGCGACAGGGTGAGCCCAGCTGAGCGCCGCTCTCTGAGCAGGTACAGTTACCACCATTCACGAACCAGGAATGGGGCTGACCAGGACTGGAGCCGCTACCACCACTTGGACAGTGAGCATGCCTGGCTCCCGGAGAAGTACTACCCCAAGAAGATGAGGTGGGACAGGTGCAGGTACTACCCCGACAGGTACACCCCCTATGCAGTCAGGGAGCTCAGTATGAAGCGGCCACACAAGGACTCTTCCCGGGCCAGGAAGGGCTGGGAGCCACCTTCCCGGGTGAGGGAGCGGACGCACTTCTACAGCCCGCGCACAGGTGCCGCACCCCCTTTCCCTCTGCACCCTGAGCGGTATCCCCAGGAAAAGGTTGCCTTTGGAGCTGACGACAGAGGTTGCGGCCTGTCTGATCGCTTCCATGAACATGAAAGCATGAAGTCACGCAAACGGAAGTATGAGAGCCGTGATTGTGACAGTCATGTGGAAAAGAAAGCCCACAGGAGCCTGCCTAAAGAGCTGGAGGAGCCCAAGGCAAAGAAGCACAAAAAATCAAAGAAGAAAAAGAAATCTAAAGACAAACACCAGGAGCGCGACTACAGGTGAGGGTGGGAATATTCCTTATCTCCACGGGTTTTGAGACTTCACGGTTTCTACACACTTCCGAAACGGGGCAGCTTTGAGCTCTGTCTCACTTCATGTATCATAAAATGTCTCATTTTGCCCCTCTCAGGTAATGCTTTCTCTCTCTCCTCTGAGTCAGTATGAGTGCTACAAAAGTAACGTGGGGAATTTCTGATTTCAAGATTGGTCATTCATCATGTAGTTACACTTTCACATCTGTTATGTATTTTTCAAATTGAAGTGACTATGTGATAGGCTGCAAGTGGGAGCCACAGCTCTGCTTCTTGCCTGCCTGCCTAGAGGAAGGCCTAAGGAGCACCCTTTATTTTCTTGGCCTTTGTCTTTGAGTCTCAATATGAAACATAAATGTCTTCATATTTTAAAAATGCTAACTAGGTTGTAGGGTTTTTTTGGTGGAGGGGTGGTGCTGGGGATGAAACCTAGAGCCTTGTGCCCGTTCTGCCAGTGAGCCACATGCCCATCACTGTGTATTTCAGTTCACTATCTTTTAAAGTTAAAAATCCTAGGAAAAGTTTGCCAAAAGACGTACGTAAATAGGCAGTGGTTATTTTGTGCAAATGAAAGCGCAAGCTTTTCCCTTCTCTGTGCCTGAGACATGGCAAAACGTCCATGCTTTTCTTTTCTTTTCTTCTCTCACCCTCATCTTTCTGCCATGGATTTCAGAAGAGGTCAGTTAAGTCCTCTCAGCTGTTTTTCTGGCTGGCAGCCCCAGCTCCTGAGCACAAGAGGCTATGGTGGAGCCAGAGGTGGAGTTGAAGTGGTGAATTCATGACCCTGGGCTTTAAAAATCCCTAGAGCTAAAAGTAAGAGAACCGTTTGTAACTTGGTAAGTGCTTACCTGTGTTTGTACATGGAGCGTTCTCAGTGAGTGGTCAGGACAGCCAGTGCCAGGTCCTGTCTGAGGTGGTGCTGGGGTTTGGATTGATGATTTCTGTTTGTTGCTTCTGCAGGCATCAGCTGGATCCAGGTCTTCCAGTAGTGTACTTGGATTCTGACCTCCATAGACACAAGAAGAAGAAGAAAAAGAAAAAGAAGAGGCACTCAGGGAAATCAGTGGAATTCATAAAAGAATCAGGACTACAGTCACCGAAGGCCTCAAGCTATGAGACTGTCAACCATTTCCAGAGACCTGAGGGCAGCTTCCTGCTCACCGATGTTCTGCCTGTGGAGGACACTGGATCTTTCCGCAAGAAAAATAAGCATTTAAGGATGGAGAGCAGGGCCAACAGGTGCCACCTGCTGGAGTATGGCCAGGGTAAGAGGAGATTCTTGGAATTAAGAAGAGAAAAACTCTTTTAATAAGTATTTTTGGAAATGGTGATTAACACATGGAGCTGAAACCTCAAGTGTCTTGAAAGGGTGCACGGGTAATACAGGGCATCATCTTGACTCACAAGCTCCTGTGTGATTGGTTTTCCATGTGTAGTTTGGATACCTGACACTGATCCGTTAGCACTGAAGTATGGTTTTGTGGAACTGGAATTTATGGCACTCTGGGTGTCTGAGCATTTGCCCCCCAAGGAGAACTGTTTTTGTCTTTCAAGCATTTTTGGTAGCAATGCTTTTGCACTATTCACTTTATTCTGTTGAACCCTTAAAACACCCACGGTGTACCCTAACATGATTTGATGACATGGGTCGTTAGGAATGTGAGTTGCCACCTCTATCAGTGATGTCTGTGAGGCTCCTGGCATCGCTCACTCCAGGCTGTCGGACATCTTAAATTCTTGTGTGTGCACCGTACCAGCTCTTTGTACTCTGACTGCACTTGGGGCAGCCTCTTCCCCTTCTAACTGACTTCCCTGAGAAGGAGTCCTGAGCTTGTTAAGAATGGAAGTGACGGAGCCAGGTGTGGTGGTGCACGCCTGTAATCCCAGCACTCGGGAGGCTGAGGCAGGAGGATCGCTGTGAGTTCGAGACCAGCCTGAGCTACATAGTGAGTTCCAGGTCAGTCTCAACTACTAGTGAGAACCTGTCTAAAAAAAAAAAAAAAAAAAAAGGAAAGAAAGAATGGAAGTGACAGGACTTGGGGCCGAGGGCACAGTTTGGCAGGCTGCAACCCAAAGCCAAAGCTGGCCTTGTGTCTGTCTCCATACCACCTATGAGTTAATGGCTTTCCTGTTTTCAAAAATTCCAAAGAGGAGTAGTACTTTGTTCCACCTGAACAGTGTGTGAAATTCAAATGCCAGCATCTGTAGAGTGGCTGAAATACACCCAGTGGTTTGCTTGCAGTTGCTGCTCTTGGCAGAGTGAGTACTCACAGCTGGGTGTCTGCCACACTCCCAAGTGTTTGTCACCTGGCCCTTCACAGCAAAGAAAGTCAAGTTTGCCAGGCCCTGCCTGAACACTGATGGTCACTTCCGTCAGTGAAGGCTGCACACATCATTGCGGGGATTTTGACACATCACCTTGGTTGCCCTGAGGTCTTTTGGGTTCTCACCTCAGCTAAAATGTGTTCTCGTAGGCCCCTGGTCTGCATGCAGGTTGTAGGGTAAAGAGAAGTAGGCCTGAGGAAGGCTGAGGTCACCACGGGGGAGGACAGCCAGGGGTGCACAGGCAGACTTGCTGCTGCTGCCAGGATTGAAGGGAAGCATTGTGGCATTTGCTCTTCATGTTAAATTATGTACATTTTTAGAGTGGTTCTGCATTAACATTTGGCAATTTGGGGACCAGGGTTTCTCTTTCTTATCTCCATGTGGTACCTGAGGATCATGTAGTGAGATGGATTTGGTCTGCATGTTGGGCAGGGTCCCAGCATTATAGTCAGACTCCCTCATCCTGGCAGGGCAGGTCAAGCCCCCGAGACTACCACTCTGAGGACAGTAAGTTGACCTACTTGGTGTTGGCTTGGGATTCAGTGGCTGAGCTCACTTATCTGCTACAGGTGCTGCAGTCAAGTCCTGTCTGGGTGGTGGCTGTTTCTGTCCCCAGGCCAGTGGCACTGATGACTGATTTGCAGCCATAAAATCTGCCAGGAGCACAGACCAAGGGTCTGTGAGCTCCAGGCCTCCTAGAGGGCCCTGGCTGAGGGCTGAGCACTCTACCATCTTCTGGCACTTGCAGTCCTGTGTCCTGACCATTTTGCTTTGCAAACTCCTGACGTCTGGCTCCATTCAAATCTGGTTAATTTCTTTGGCCCCTGGCCTGAAGTCTGTTCCATCCTAATGTGAGAACTCAGCAGTGTGATGAGGTGGGCATGGCCTGACATGGACACTCTGTTGCGATGAAATCCAAGTGACTTAGAGCAGAACCTTCAGTGTCAAGGCTGTGTCTGAATCACTTACATTCTGTGGTCCTGGAAGGCAGGGACTCATGTTTCATAATGTGCACTTGTGGAGGGAAAGAGGATGGCAAACATATAGCCCATGAAAGACAACTGCCCTTAAGTGTCTGCCTTACCTAATCAGCGAGGGCAATTTTAAATGAATTTCAAGGCGAACTCTCTATAGATTAGCATGCAGTTAATTAACATGCTTTATCTGTGTGTCTTCAAGGGACACTAACCCTAAGGAACTCTAAACTCTTCCCAAGTGAAAGCAGGATCAGGCTGGGCAGGTACAGTTGGGTCCACCAGATGGTGCCTCCCTGGCCAGGCCAACTGGTTCCTCTGCAGCTGCCTGGTGTCACCCGGTTCCTCTAAGTCATTCAGGAAGGAAGACTGATCCTTTCAAAAAAAAAAAGAGCTTCCCAATGACCAAGGGGACCTGCGGGGGCAGGGTGTCACAAAAAGAAGGACCTGGCTTCCTGGGGCCTCTGCCTTCGACTAATGCCTGCGCCTCTTGTCTTTCAGATTCAACGTGTTCCACAGAAGCCATCCCAACTCAGCTTAAATTATAAACATAAATTTGTTCAAATCTGCGTGGTGCTTCTTTAGTAAATACTGTACAGATTTTACCATGAATTTTTTTTTTTAACCTTTTCTTAATTGCCCTTATTCCAAAAGGATGAACACTTTCTACAACTGCTGACCATTGTAAAATACCGTGTATATAAATCACATTGAAAATAATGCCCTGGAATAGAACATCTCAAATGCTGCTTAATTACAGACTCAGGTTGATTACTTATATTTCATGTAATGTTCCTCCAAGTTAGACATCTGGTGCAAGACCAACCGGGAAACCATGGAATTATTAAAAGTACAAACTGACAGTGCGTGTGTTTAATTTAAATACTTATTTAAAAATTTACAAGCTCTCAACTAGACTTTGAGGGCAGTCTGTTTTCTGTAATGTCTGATACTAGAAACTAATTTGCTTCATATTTTAGTTGTATTCAAGATTTGAAAATGTATTTTATAGACAAGTTCTGTTTTTGAACTTTGTGGAACTATTCCAATCAACTTACCAGTTATGATAAGTATTCACATTATGAATGTATAATCTAAACATTATTTGTAAAGCTTACAGTATGTTTTTATTACATAACACTTTTTTATACTGTGTCGCGTCAACTGTATGATATTGGAGTCTGAGTTGTCAGCTTAGTCCCTTAAAGTTTCTAGTTACAGACAAAATCATACTGTGATTTTATTTTTAATATGGATATGCTATCAAACTGTGATACACTTATAATTCACTGGTCCTGCATCAGGAGATGGAGTGGGGAAAACTGTATTTAATACAGTTTCTATCTGAATAATCTGTATGGTTTATACAGTTTGTGTTGTTCAGAGATGTCTAAAGTTTGATCTTTGTTTTTTTAAAGATTAAAAAAGCACTTGCCCCACTGTAAATATACAGCATGTAAAATTTATATAGTATATAAATGGCAGCAAATTAAACATTTTGTGTCAGTTTTTTTACTTGTTTTTCCCATTTGCTTCCCACCATGTCTTCTCTGTCTTTGTGTTTCAAAACCCTCACAGCTCTGGCTACCATCTCAGCAGGTGCCTCAGACCCCAGAGATGAACCAGGGAAAACCAGGTGCTAGTGTGCTGGACATAACACATCTCTAAAGAAGCAAGTCTTAGACAACCTTGTTTTAACAATATATGTGATTTTTATTTAGTGAAGACAATATTTGCAAGTTTTAACACAGCCATACACCTTTCAGTTTTACTGTTCACTTTTGATATCAATAGAATATTCATGCAAGTTGTAGGGGATATATACATTGAATAACAAAACACTCCCAGAAATCAATATATGTACATTATTTACACATTAACTATAGGTAAATAGAAATGTTTTCTAAGGAAAAAATAAAATGAGATCACAACTTGTCGTTTCTGGTCTGTAACAGACCTAACTTCTCAGTAAAGCACATCTGTAGATATATGCACTTCTAAGTTTGAAGATAGGCATTGCTTTGTATGAAACATTAAATGCTGCTTCATCTATAAACAGCTCTTGCTTTCATTCCATTTGGTGCCACATTAAAGTATTTAAAAAGTGTTTCAGGACCCTGGAGGTAATAGTAGATTGTGAGGGTCCAGGGTCAGTCCATATAAGTTTCAAATGATAACCAGGCCCACCAAGAATCTCACCCCTGCACTCCTTGGAACTGCCCACTGCCCTTTGTTTATGGAGGAAACTTTGTCTTTGGCCACAGTTGGGACCATTAACTCAGGACTGTGAGTGCAGACCCTTGGGTGGGGAGGCGATGAACATGATAGCCCTGGAGTGGGAGGGGTCCCACTTCGAGGCAGCCTGGTGGAAGCCAGGTACACATGATGGCAGACACCTTAGAGTTAATACTGTCAAGAGAAAACCTGGAATTAAGTGATGTCATGTAATACTTTCAATAGGGCAAAGGTACTTAAGATTCTGAGCACCACGGCCTTCTGCATGATCCTGGGTGAACAGCCATTGGGCAGAGTGGCTCACAGGTGACCCCATGATCACCTCTGAATGCCCTAAAACAGTGCCACATCCCCAGGTCTGTGCCAGGGTTAGACACTCAGGAGAGAGGGAGCTCTTGACCCAAATGAAATGCTGACCCAACACTGCCACAGTATCTGGCAGGCTGGTCCAAGGTGGCTTCACAGCATGGAGGCATCGTGGTTGGGCCAGGTCTGGGCAGCACTAGTGCTCCGCAAATGGGCACAGAGGGTGGTAAGTTGCATATACACCAGTCAGGCACATGAGTGCAGCCAATTTGCCTTGCTCAAACACTAAAGTTTCAGGTCTGAGGTATCAGTAAAATAACAGCATAGAAGCTCGGAAATAAAATGTCAGTCTAATGGGTGATGGGGAGTTTCAGCCTTGGGCCCTCTGCACTGAGGTCAGCCACACAGAGGCAATGGGCCCGTGACTGCACAGTCTCCACCTCAAGGCAGCTCATGGGAAGACATTTCTGCTATTTAGAACAAAGCATAAGTGCATTCAGTCTGAGGTTTTCATTCATGGTTAAAGGACCTGGAATATAAGAACCTTTGTATTCCAAGGACCTGCCCAGAGGACAGCCATGTAAGGAGCTAAAGAGGGCCCAGGTGTTGGGCACCCCAAAGGTATGAACAAAGATCCCCAGCAGGGGGACTCTGTCACACAGTGCCCTCGTCCTTGCCCAGCTCTGATAGCCTCAAAGACAGGGCCATCAATCCTGTTGTATGTCGAGGGTTACCCCAGTTTAGATTTGGGGCTCTCCACTGTTCACATAAAACCCTAAGTGCCACACACCTTGAGCCATGGCTTGTTCTCCCTTCTCAAAGGGTAACTCAGGCCTGAGAACAGGCACTGTAACAGGAAGATGGTAGACTAGTATGTCTAGTCATTCATTAAGAAATCTGATTATGCCAGTGAGATAAGTATTTTGCTGAAGGTTCTAAGTAGCAATGGATGTATTCTGTGGAACCAAGTAGAACTGCTGTGTGGGCTGGAAATGGTCAGAGCAGTTTCTTGTGATCCAACCTGTGGATGATCTGCCCAGGGAAAGAGCTCCATTTCCTAGGGTTCAGCAGTTATAGCAGCTCCAAACCATAACCATATCTTAATGAATAGGGCCAAAAAGTCTGAGAGGGGGTTGCAGGGCTTACACATCTGGAGGCCCTCAGTGTACTAGTCCTCGAAGACTAGGCGTCTCCCTCCCCGGGAGCCACCTATGGCACCCCCTGCAGCTCCCACCCAAGTGCAAGTGCCCCACAGCCCTCCCTTTGGGTGCTGCATATATATAAATTTTTTTCAGTGCACAGTATATACTTGTGTCCAGGAGTTATTTATATTTATAGCTGCCATTCTAAAAATACTACTGTTAGAAAGTATCTTTCATTATAATTTCAGGATATAAAAAGTCATATAAAAGCTATAATCCTATATATCTGAGAAAAATTCTGAATTAAAAAAATGGTAGCTATTCCATTCCCATTTTGATATAAAACAGCAGCTTCTAGAATGGTCACTGCCACTGCCTCAGATGCCCACGGGGAGCTCCCTCCACTGCTTCTGAAGCCAAGCAGCAACAGGAGGAAATACAGCTGATCACGATCCAGGCCACACACACACCAAAGAAATCAGGGTGTGCAGCTGGGGCCACAACTGATTCTGGGGACCAGTGCCCCCTGTGTCTTGTTGAGGCAGCCACCAGTCACATCTGCTGTGCGGTTTGGGTTCTTAGTTTACCTGCTGGGTCAGGACAGCTCTATTTCTTATTGGCAATCCTCCTTTTCCTCGTTGCCAACATGTCATAGAAAGGATCTCTACTGATGCTTGCTCTGGGGAAGAAAAGTACAGGTCAGGGCAAGGACAATACTGGCCCTGGTGAGCCCACCCCTCGAACAAGACAGTGGCTTCACACCGTGGGGTTGACTCAGCAGGACTGTCTCCAGTTTCTGGAGACACAAGGGTCTCAGGCACACAGTGCAAGCTCCCTCCCCAACCTCACTCACTTGATGGATTTCATCCACTCCTCCTTCTCCTCAGGGCTCGGGGCAGAGATGCGATACACCACGTGGTTTCCCTCTACCACCCGGCCATCAGCCTCTGTCTTGCAGGCTTTGATGACCTGCCCTTTGTGGCTGGGATTGTAAAGCTCAAAGCAGTTCTGGGGAGAGAGAGGGAAGATGAGCTCCGTACAAGTAGTCAAAAGACAGACATTTGTGAAAGGGGGTCACTTACAGGTTTCCGTGGGTCTTCTACTTCTCTGATGCTGAGGTTTTCCAGTGGGATAATGCCCCTAGGCTCCTTGTCCTACAAGGAAAGGGCACACAGCCAGCCTCAGCAGGCCACTTCCTCAGTGCCCCTGCCCACAGGTTCCCAGCCCCACTTACAGTGGTGTACTCGAAGTAGTAGAGGCAGTTGTCGGTCAGGATGAACCAGCGCCGCTTCCAGGTCTTCACACGCCCTCCTAGGAGCAGAAGGGCCCTGTGAGTCAGACACACAGACCCACACGACTCCCTTCTCAGGCCATCAGGAGCCTTCAAGCTCAGGCATGTTTGCTTCCTTGTGAAAATGTTGAATATTCTGACCACAGTTAGCAAGGTCCTGCACAAGGTGCATGGCTGGCTGTCCAGGTAGGTAGCTGAGTGCATAGCTGGGGCCCACATGCACCCCCAACCCTGACTCACTCAGGTGTCCTCTCCTTGGCCACCCAGGGTCAATCTAGATAGCAGCACACTTTCAAGTCTGCTTCCTAGAAAAGTTAGTCATAATGGATGGGTATAATTTCCCCCCGTGAAATGACAACAAGATGAAGTCAGTGCCAGCTCAACTGGGTCTGTCTAGAATTTAATCCTTTTATGTCAGGGCATTATCTCATTACTGGGTACTTTGGGCAGCCCTGGGATCCATCAGAGTCAATTACCCCTTAGCCCAGGGAATTATTAGATTGAGTTAATCTTTTAACAAGATCTGAAGCTTTTACACACACACACACACACACACACACACACACACACACACAAACACACGCCCCTCAGCTGTGCTTATGACCCTTTTACTACAGAAAAGCAATCTTTTTTAATTCTGCAGAGCCAAACTGACTTAAACTACTAGCTTTTGCTAATAAGAGAAAGGAAGACGTTCATGAAAAGAAATTCAGTGTTACCTGGGGAGCAAGTAAGAGGTGGCCCTCCCTGTCCCATTACTACCCAGAGTATTCTCCACAACATGGAAGCAGCTGAGGAGCTGTCACAGTGAGGCTGGAGAGACAGGAAGATGGAAGGAAGGATGGTGCAGGTCAAAGGAGAAACCAGTTTGGGGAGGAGGAAGCCAGACCTGATGGGTACAGAGGCACTGGAGGGAGGGAGGGATGTCCCCAAAGCCCAGCTGGGACCCAGCACCCCAGCCTCACTCATCAGACCCAATATACATCCACCTTTATTTGAAGGCCGAAGGCAGCCCATGAGGTCAGTTACCACCACAACCCTAGAGAGTCAGCCCTGGCAACCAGCTGTCCCTGAACCAGTCCCTCTGCATCTCAGACACATCTGCCTCACGCCTCCAGCCTCACCAGCCCCACCTGTCAGAATGTCTGACCTCGTACTGTTCTCCAAGATTCCCAACATTTTTCTACGGCCCTCCTCAGAACCACCTCCTCCCTGCTCAGGCCTCTTGCCTAAAGTACCATTCCTTCCTCACATGTCTCTCATGACACTTGACCTGGGTGCCTGCTCCCAAAAACCTTGCACATAGCTTCACCACTGGAATCCTTGGCTTCTGGGTCCAAAGGCCTGTCTCATCCAGCCTACAGGAGTCCATTCCATACAAGAGTCTAACAGGAGGCTATGTTCCTTACAGGAAACCAGTTTTGACCAAGTCCTTTAATGGCAAGAGGACAGAGAGCCATTCTGTGTGCTAAGATCATAAGAGGACAAGGCTAGTTTTTCTAGACACCGCCCCCCACTTCCAAGACAGAATCAGCTGACAGTCCCTCTACCATCCCTGGCACTCTGCCCCAGCCCTGTGTGGACTCTACTGCCCTCAGAGACTCAAGAGTAGGCCAACTCAGCTGTCCTCTGAAAAGAACCTCCAATCTTGTCCATCCTGCTTGAGGCCCCCAAGGGCTCTATGTGCTTATCATGAAGGACCTAACATCTAAGCCACCCAGGGCTCCTGCCACAGCTGCCAGCCCCCCTGCAGCCTGAGCTGCTCTAAGCCCCCAACCTTCAGCGAGAAGCAGGTCCTCAGAGCCATCCTCAGGACATACTCCACCACATTGTGCTTCTGTCAAGGCACACAATTAGGGTGTACTCTGCTCGCTCCTGGGCCACTCACTGCCCACCTGTGATTGCCAGCTGCCATGGAAGTGGATCTGTTAGGATGGTCCAGGCCCACACCCACTGCCCCCCTGTACAAGGGTGAGGTGTGTCATCTGAGGCGGGCCGAGCAGGGCAGGATGATGGTCTCAGAGCCACAGCGGGTTCTGCTGGGAGGAGCTGGGAGGCTCTGCTCAAACTACACCACACTTGGAGACAAGAGCCTGGCTTCTCTAAACAAGGTAAGCATCACTCAGTACATTACCATTTTCACTGCTGTCCCACATGTACCTTTTCCACCATGACAGCTCAGCTCTGACCACATCCTAAATTTTTGACAGAGCTGACTCTCAAACCCAATGTCTTAAATTTCTCAACAATAGTAAACCAGACCTGTGAACGGTACTCTGAGCCTACAACCCACAGCACTTTTCAGCATTAATGGCCCCTCCTCTACAGTCACAAGGAGAACACTCCTGAGTTTCTACCCATTCTGCACACCTTCAGCTGGTGCCTGGGTCCTGACTGTGCCACACCCCATGCTGGGAGGAACAGTGTTTGCCCATTCAGTGCAAGGTCACACTGGGGGGCTGATTTGAGTCCGTCCTCATGGCCCTGAGGGAAATGACACCAACTCTGCATGCTCAACAACTGACCAAGTCTGCGCTTCTCCAAAGAGCTGCCTCTGGTGTTTTGGGGCACCAGGAGCTCTGGAGAGAGATCAGTGCCAGTTAATCTCTCCACTAGCTTCCTAGGGACCTGTGCCATGACAGTGCCAGCTCATAAGCCTTTGCCCTCACACTTCACTCCTGAGAGTGGATAGTGAAACTGCAGGGGCGAAAGAGACTACAGATGCCAACACCACAGGATGCCACTTTCCCAGGTCACAGTGCACCAAATGCACAGCTCCCTCAAGTGCTCTGCATGCTCATCTTGGTGATCTGCGTATCTGCCCAACCAGGAAACAGGTCAGAAAACACAAGCTGTCTTGTGTCTTTCTTTCTTTTCTTTCTTTCCTTCCTTCCTTCCTTCCTTCTTTCCTTCTTTCTTTCTGTCTGTCTGTCTGTCTGTCTGTCTTTTTGGGTACTGGGGATCAAACTTGGGTCCTTGCGCTTGCAAGGCAGGTGGCAGAAACACTAAGCTAAATCCCTGGCCCTTGTGCCTTTATTTCATTCACTTATTTATATCGCTAGGGCTGGGCATCTGAGCTGCCACAAGGGCTGGTCATGTCATGTCCCTCGAGGGGACACTCTTGGGCAGCACAGAGCCTGGAAGGGAGTTGTCTGATCCAGTGAAGGCCCTGATTCTGGCCAATCACAAGGGCTGGCATCTTTGGATGCAGTTTTCTTCCATCCCCCACTCCAGGACCATGAGCGTGATGTGATGTGAGAAGTCTGGTGTGTATCTCAGGTCACTCAGGCATCCAAGTCCAAGTCAACAACACTAGGCATTTAGGAAAAGATTCAGAACTCTTCTAAATTTCAGTAGAGCCAGGGAAAAGTAAAAAGCAATGACCAAGGTCAAAGACCCCAGTGGGAACAGAGGACTGGGTACAACCCCGCCACATCAGCTAAGGCATCCCATTCCTTTAACATCACCAGGCCACACCTTACATCTTCCCATGATAAAAAATTGCTTTAAAAAATCTCCAGAACTCTATCCCTTGGATCCTACATGCTGCACAGCAATTCTCTGTTCTCAGAGGGACCTAGAAGATACAGCTGTCAGAAATCCATCATCCCCCAGAGTCAAACCCTAAAAACTCCTTAAATTTGCCCATAAAGTACAAAATCCATTATATCCCTTTGTCACGGGTAAGGAAGCCTTTGAGATGTCCCCATAATCGGGTGGGAGGGGGTGTGGGCAAACATGCACTGCTTGGTTAGTACGGGGCACCGGTGACTCTGCAGGGAAAGACTGGTTATCAGCTCCCTTGCTGCTGCTATAGAACCCTAAACATGGTGTGGGGTGTGGTATCTAGTTTGTTCCCAGTGTCCCCATGCACTCCTGGTCCTGGCCTCTCTTGGTCCTGGTCACTAGGGTTGGGTGTCACGCACACCACACCACTTACAACACTGATACCTGCCAAGTCCAAAGCCAAATGAATCAAATGAATGGCAGCCACAGATCGGAGATTCACACAGACTAACGTGGGAGAGAAAAACCGAGAGAGGAATGAGCCACTGGGGAGGAGAAGAAGCCACTGGGTACCTACCTCCTAACGCAGGACAAGCAGGGACAGCCCATCACAGAACAGAAAGGTGGGAGCCACAGGCAGAAGGAAAACAACAAGAAGGCACATTTAAACCACTCATCAAAAATCACAGCCACGCCAAACCAAGAGAAAGGCACACAGGTTCTTAGGAGGTAAACGCACTTGCTTCTTGTAGAGAAAACTGCCCTGGACTTAGGTGGACACTAACTGGGCAGTTTTCTGGGAGGGGTTCACAGTCCCTGCTGTGAACACTGAGCATATAGCCTTACTTTGAAAAGGGAGCGGCCACCGGTGCTGGGATGTGTGGCTGCTAAAATCGGACTTTGGTTCAACTGCACTCTTTTTTTTTTAAACGTTTCTGCCTTGCAGTTAGGGGGTGTCTGCTACATAAGGAGTGGTAAAGAGACCAGGGAGCTGCTGAGTGGGCTGGGGGGCTGTGGGCGGGGCACACACAGCAGGCTCACCCAGCTTCAGGAGCCAGCCTTCCCGGTCTGGGTTAAAGAACGTGTGTGTCAGGTCGTTCCCATCATCCTCTGGGATTTTAAATGGTTCATTCTTAATACTTTCATATAAGTTCTGTAAGGGGAAAAACAGCAGCAAATTCAGAAATTCACAGAGGAAAAACAAGCGTTCTCTTGTCTCTAGTACAGGATACAACAGCAGTACTGGTAAGTAAGAGACACTTGAGAGATGCATTTACAGTAATAAACCAGCTGGACCTGGTGGCAGATGCTTGTAATCTCAACACCTCTGGGAGGCTGAAGCAGAAGGGTGGCAAGTTTGAATTCTGCCAAGGAAACTCAGTGAGACCTTGTCTCAAGATTAAAATAGTAACAACAACAATGATAATAATAAAAGCTGGGTATGTAACTCAGTGGAGAGTGGCCCTGGTTGATTCACAAGAGCACTGCCCATTTGCAGAGAACTTGGGAAGTTTTAGATTAAAAAAGGAGTAGAAGGAGGAGCAGTGCCATCTGATGAGGCTCAGTCCCAGACTTACCCTTAGCAGCTCCTCAGGGAGGTCTCCCCCTTCGTTGATGCCACGGTTCATGGTGATGAACCGCTCCACAGTGGGCTTGTCACGCACGTTATGGTTGTGCAGGCTTGTGTTGAGCATGATGATGGCAAACGACAGCACATAGCATGTGTCTACAAGGCAGAGGACAGTAGGGAACTCAGCAGCCTGAGCTCTGCTGGATTTGGCATGCAGTGTGGGGTCCACAGGGAAAAACCAGAGTAGAAATCTCTGCACAGTTAACCTCAGAAAATACCGTGCTGGCACAGGGAAAGAAGGTCCTAGAAACAGGCTGGCCTGTGCTATAGGCCTTTATCCAGAATTAGAGGTGAACTGGCCATGAACTGTGTCACTGACCTGTGGACTGGAAGACACCCGGGTTGCACAGGCAGTAGCGTGAGGCAAAGGCCTCCATCATGCGATCGATCTTCTGAGCCTCTCCAGGCAATCTAAAGCTCCATAGAAATTGCCTATGAAGAGACAGACCCCCTCACTGAGTGACTGCGCCACAGCAAGGATGCAATCCCCTCAACCTGGATGCCACCCTGGTGGGAGAATGTGCCAGCAAGGAGACTTGGTTTCCTTCCACTCAATAATTCAAAACAAATTTACCAACTGCTCCTCTTTTGTGTGACTACAATGAACTCTTCAGCAAAGTCCGCTGTCCCTGTCATATATTTATCCAAGGTCCCAGTACTTCTTGCTCCCACTGGCATGATCTCTTGCAGCCCACCAGATGACTTCCAGGGCCCTACGATATTCCATGGCTGCCACAGTTCTGAAAGCACACAGCCCACATGGCCCTCTCAGGACTATACCCTGGGGCAAGGTCAGAGTCAGCAGGATGCATCCAGGACTCCGCTTCACCTCAGGCCGCAGTCAGGGACTACTGCTGCCTCCCTGGGGCAGGAACACCTCTGCTTCTGGTACCAGGCCAGACAAACAGATGCTGCTGTCCTCAGATCGTCCTGCATCCTGCATTCTCCCTCTGACCACCCTCCCTAAAATTGCAACCACCACCCCAACACTCACACCCTTTCTTTGCTTTCCTTTGAGTCAAAGGGCAAGAGCCACAGCTATCCTGTTCCCTGTAGTCCCTGTGGCCAGCAAAGTCTCACACAACAGCTGCTTGGTGATGCTTGAAACTGTAGTGGCTCCAGTACCCACTGAGTGCTGAATGAGCATACTCAATAACTGTTCTCAGTTTTTAAGACAATGACACTAATTTCCTCCTTTGCAGGTCCCCAAATGGGGGTGTTCCCCATTGACCATTGCTGCCCCCCTTACCCTATACTCTTTCCTGTGATTTCCACCACACTTGGGCCCCTCTCTCTCCCAGCACCTGCTCCAAACTTTCACTCTTGACTGATGGCCCCATCCCCAGGTCTCAGACTGGTCACTTGGGCTAGGTCAGGCCACTCCAAAATCTCTCCCCTTTACCTGATGCTGGCCAGAAAAACATCCTACTATGTACTGCTCCCACCCACCATCGGTCTCCCCAGACAGCTTCTCAGACCATAGGACCACCAGCACTGTTTCAACCCAGGACCCTGTCTGCAGCCCTTGCATTTGACTCTCCTTAGCCTGACCCACCAGACTTCCCTCCCAGCAGCTCGAGACCCCTTTACTATACAGCCTTACTTTTTTGTCTCCATAGCAATCAGCTCCTGACAATTCACAGAAGTATCCATTATCCCTTCTCTCTACCCCATAAGGTCTGCGGGGCCATCCCGGGTACCAGCACTGTAACCTGAGCTCCTCCCACATGTGCCTCAGGACAGGCCAAGGGCAGAGTGATGAGAACCCCACAAGCCAAAAAGAGTCAAGGACCCAGTGGAGCAAAGCCAAGGCGAAAGTTCTTGTTCACCTCTGCTATAGGTAGGGCCTAGCAAAATTTTTAACCCCTGTGGGATTTATCAGGAACCTCTCTGGCTCTAGGCCAGAGACCAACTGCCCACAGACAGGGAATCACATGGCAATGGTCATGCCACAGACATACTTGCCACTCACTAGGCCCGTGCCTTTCTCTGGATAGAGCTTTCAAACACTGAATCTGAAAATGTAAAGCAGGGCTCCAGGACTCCTACATGTGGCTCATGAACTGTTCAGCCCCAGGCTATGCTGCTGAGCATATCAAAAGGATATGGCAGAGACGGTATGAGGACATGAAACGGACAAGACAGAGCCACAATATTCTGAGAGGCTTGTCCCTCTGATGGGCAGTGGCTCAAGGTCAGAACCAGAACACATAAAACACCATGTGGCCCAGCCGGGACACCACAGAAGACAAGATGATGCCTTCTAAGAACCCAGGACAAAGGGGCTCAAGTAAGCATCTAGGGCGCGAATACACTGTGGACACTATCTCCTTCTGTCCATGCTCCATGATGCACAGTGATACCCAGCTTTCTGTAGCCACAACTGAAGCCTCCCTCTGCTGGTGGGAGGTCTACATCCCCTCTGGCACACTTGGAACAGCCATGCTCAAGGACAAATCTGGTGGGCAGTGGGCCTGAGCAGTGTTACAGCCACAGTGAGCAGCATGTGCAGCAGACATGGGAAGAAAGCATCCACATAACCACTGGATGTCACCAAAAATGAAGGACAGCAAAGAAACTATGAGCAGGATGAAGAACTGGTGATCACAACAAGGAAAACAAAACATCTGTCCCTCCGTGCATGTTCCCACTGCTGTCTAGGGCTGTTGCCTAGCATGCAGCTGTCACACCGAAGGAGAGGGGACACAGGAACACAGTCAGGGTCTGCAGGACCTGAGAGCTCCCCTAATTACTGAGTGTTAATCACTACTATTTCACTAATGCCCAGGCCTCCACTCACCTTAAGGCTTGTACGAGGTTGAGATCAGCAAACTCATGGAGTTCAACAAAAGCTTGAAGAACTTTGATATTAAATTCATCCCTTGGAAAGAGTGGAAACAAATTTTCAAGGCTAATGATTGCACAGTATTTCAATCACTTTAAAAGAAAGACATACCCTTGCCTGGCATAGTAGTGTACACCTATAATCCCAGCACTCTGGGCCCTTGAGGCAGAAGGATCACATGTTTGAGCCTAAACTGAGTACTTTAATGATTTAAGCAAGAACCTGTCTCAAAATAACTTGGGAAGGGAAGGGAAGGGAAGGGAAGGGAAGGGAAG